AGAGTGTGGAGTACATTGGGATGACTAAAGAATTGATTGCGCCTTTCAGTTTGGCTGTTTACAGATATGCTGTTTGGTAGTGGACACACTTTTCCTGTCCTTCCTGTGAGTTACTAACAAACATCTGGTCTCAGCCAGGTCCTTCCTGATTCTTCCTCTTTTTAAGGATTGACAGGCTTCTGCTGTGATGACCTCATCCTCATGAAGTATCACTATGTGGACTCTCTTGTCTTCCTAGCAAATCTTCGTAAGTTCCCCTTTTTCTGTAAACTGCACCCCTGTGTCCGCATCATTTGCCACCGTTGTCTTTTGTTATCCCTCCTCTTCCCTCCGTCCCTTGCCCCAGCCCGTACCAGCTGCCACGCACCCTCCCCTGTGTGGCAGTACTTTCCACATGGTTAAATGCAGGATAGGAGGGGTTATTTATTTCCTTTAGAAAATTGTCGTTTTGAAGTGAAAGTTATGAAGAATCCTCCTTACTTCCTCCTTCCCCAGAAAACAAACCCAGCTCGTTTCTAGTTACTTCCTGACTTTCTAATTTTAAACCATGTCTGCAAAGCCTTCTTCAGAGAAGCAGTGCCCGCTGCTGCTCTTGGGACTGCAGAGAGAGAGAGGAGCTCGGAAGTCTCTACTGCTCAAGATAAGTTGGCCATTTTAGTGGCATGGCTACTTGCGCGAGCTGTGTGAGAGGTTAGGGGAATTAGGCTAGTGCAAAGTTGGACCCTCGTGCAGGCGTCAATTTTGACAACAGATCATGCATCTCGGTCTCAATTCTTCGTTCACCTCAGGATGGATTTCTACTGCCGCTGAATTAGGATAAAATGAGATAAAAATGTATTCCAACCTTTTAAAGGTACTTTTAAAAGGCAGAGTAGCAGTATGATGCAGAGGGAGATACTGTGATAAAAATATCCACTATCTTTTACTAAAGACTAAATATATGTACTATTTAGATTGGGTTGCAAAGCAAATAAGTCTGTTTTTGAAAAGGAAAATTTGAGCCCTGGTTGGGTTGCTCAGTTGGTTAGAGAGTCAAACCAATACATTAAGGTTTCAGGTTCTATCCTGGGTCAGGACACATGCAAGAACCAACCAGGAAATGTAGAGATGAGTAGAACAACAAACTGATGTTTCTCTCTCTCTCTCTCTCCCTTTTTCTCTCTCTAAAATAAAAAATAAACAAATAAAAATTTTTGAACTGTTTTTGACATCTTCATCTTCCATTAATTATTTAAACCAAATAATTATGGTAAAACTGAGCCAGTAATGTTGATTATTAATCAAGATTCTTTTACTTTCAAAGTTAGCAGTCATGCAAATTAAAAGTCATTGTGTAAGAAAAGTGAATATGAAGAACAATGACTGTTGGATTCTTGCTCCTCAGTAAGAGTTTTTGTTTAGTTCCAGCCTTAGAAGAAATACCCTGGCTGGTATGGCTCAATGGATTGAGTGGCAGTCTGCGAAGCAAGGGGTCACTGGTTTGATTCCCAGTCAGGGCACATGCCTGGGTTGTGGGCCAGGTCCCCAGTGTGGGGATGAGCAAGAGGCGGCCACACGCTGATGGTTCTCTCCCTCTCTTTCTCTCTCTCTTTCCCTCTAAAAATAAACAATATCTGAAAAAAAAAAAAGGCTGAAAGAAAACAAAGTTTTAAAGAAAAAACATCTAAATAAATATTTTAGAGAATCTGGAGATCTATTTTGATTTCCACAGAGGAAAATACTGCAAAGTTGATTATAGCATATTTATTTCATTCAGATCAATCCCAGTTGAATCGTTCCTTCTATACAAAAAGTTGTAATTAAATGAAAAAGTATGCTTTCCTGTCACGATGATGTGCTATGTCGCCTATATATCAAAATTGATGGATGATACACATACACTTTTCTACCTTGTTAAAAACGGTAATCAGACTGTAAGTTCATTTCTTTTCAGATGTTGTGATGTAGCAGGAAAATAGTAAAAGGTTTGGTCATGGGTGAAGCTGAAAACCTGCTGCAGTCCAGACAGCTGCAGTGCGTGACGGGAAGAGCGAAGGGGACGTCTGAGCGAGAGCCACCTGGCCTTTCCGTGGGAGGTGATACAAAGTGCGGTAAAACCTCATTGGCACCAGAAATGCAAGGCCACCATCTTACGACGCCATTAACCACATCTCTGGCACGACATTCAGAAGTATCACGTCCCTCATTTCAACCTACCACACACATTTGCAGGACCGTGGTGGAATTTTAAATCTTTGTGTGCAATGACGTCAATATTTCACTTTAGAATTTTGCATCTCACTAAAGACAGAGCACTCTCTGCCTTTAAGTTTTTTTTTCCTGTTACTCTTGTTTTCTGTATTCTGCACAGGATTATGAATAATTTTAAGGCCAGGGAACCCCCCACAGGAACCTATTGTTAATTGTATCTCTAGTAAGATTTAACACAGCACCTTGCTTATTTTGAAGGTTTAAAAAATACTTTAAATTAAAATTTAAGAAATGAAATTTAACCAATTTACATGGCATTTGTTTACCAAACAAAAACTGTAAGCACATGTTCACAACAAATAGAATAATATGGATTATAGAACCATCCAGGCAGAAGCACACATAGACAACTGAAAAAAATGTAGTGAAAATCTCAAGACAAATCTTGCTCTGGGAAATACTGGAAGAAAGTATATGTCGGGGATGTGCAGGGGTCTCTATCTGCCCCGAGCTGCCTGCTCTCTGGTCAATTCTCCACTTTTTTCTGTCCTCCAGGAGTACAGAGCACCCGGGAACTTCCACACACAGGTTTCTGTGCGACCACAAGTCTTCATTTCTCTGAGAAGAATGCCCAAGGGGACATTGTTGGGTTGTACAGGAACGGCATATTTCATTCGGTATGGGAGTTCCGTTTAAACCTCACCCATAGCTCTGTAAACATTCTCTTCGTAACCCTTGAGTTAGCCATCACTTTCCTGTTGGGACTGATACAAGGAAGCTGGAGAAAAACAAAATGCTGGAAATATAAGCAATATCCAGCTTCTGTAAAAATGGTCCAGCTGGGGACTCTTTGCATATAAATCTGTATGCCACTGCTTTTAAAAACTCAATAACTGTAAACATAGGACAAGAAAGATGAACAAAGAACAGTTGTCCCTTCCCACTTATAATAAGAAATTCAACCTACAATTACACTCTGAAATATATCAGCAAAAGGTTAATTCAGCTCTGCATGTTAATTTAGCTCTGCAAGCTATCTTCTTCCATATGTCATGTGGATTTTACACAATGAAAAAATACACAAATGTCAAAAAGCTCAAAATTCAAATTAACAGTAGAAATGAGAATCATACACGTGTCTTTGAACGTGTGGCATCAGGAATCTATCTGGTGTTACCAAGCACAACTGCATGGGCTGTTAGAAAGGGCAGAGAAAGGACCTCATGTCCAAGGTCTGATCCTGAGCCATAAACTGCTCTGCGCTTCCCCTTTAATCAAAGTGCCACACATCATTAATCGTTCATTCATCAACACATCCTGAAAACACTTGTTGAAAATCTACAGTGCAAAATCCTTGCACAAGGAAGCAAGTTACTTTTCTGTGCTCCAAGTTAATTCTCTAAGGACAGAGTAATTCATCCAGAGTAGCTAGGATTACCATCCAAACACTAGGAAAGAGGTTAGTGAATTTTAAAAGAGGAATGCTGTACTCAGATTTAAATAACTATATAATTCATTCTAAAATAATGGAATCAGGTAGAGAAAAATATTGATTTAAAAAATTTTCTTATTGGCTTTATTGTGTACAGATGACACAAACCTAGATATAAAATTGCTAGATCTTAAACCATTAAAATCGCTGCTCTGCAAATACTAAAAAGCATGTATTAGCTTAAAATAAGATCAGAAGCTGAATATAAGGATACTTCCCATATGCCACCAAAGAGTAGTGCAGATGAGGACACAGCTCAAAGATAAAAAAGACGTACAGATACAATTATTACTCTCCAGAATGCACAGGACGAGAAAGTGGGCAGGGATCAGAAGATGTCAGAAAAATTTAGCTTTTAGCACTTTCCTGATGCCTAGGTACCCCACCAGCCTCCACCTCTCTCTTCCGAAAACAAGAATAATTAAAGTGACAGGATAATACATGGCTTCACAAAGTAATGGTAACTGTCTCTTCACCAGACTATTGGAATGGTCAAATGAGAAGCTAGGGATGAACACATGGTGAAAAGCATACATAGGTATGTGAAGAAATAACACGGTTTCATGTTCTTATTCCTACTTCTTTTCCATTCATTAAAATTTGGGGGAATCTTCTTTTGAAATTATATTATTATGAACACTTTCTGTGCCCTCCAAAAGAACCAATCTCATAATGTTATAGCTGTTTTTTCTTTTTGATCAGACCACCCTTCCTCGGTTGAATCCCATTATTCACCAGACAGCTTCAGAATCACCTTTGAATTTTTCAGAAAGTTCAGTCAAATCCTCAAAGATGAGAACATTTGCCATTACTAAAAATAGTTAAAAGAATTTGCCTCATGCATTTAGGTCAAATTTTTAGTTTATACATGGCAGACCCTGAGAAAGAAGAAACCTACTAAGTAGGAGCTCATGATGGCTAACAGAGCTCAACTTTTTAAAAAGTAAAAAAAAAGAATTTAACAAATTAAAAAAGAAACAACTTCACAGTCATTTCTACACAGGGGCCTCTCACACGCTACACTGCAGAGAGAAGCCCAGGTTGACCTGCCCTCCTCTGCACGTCACTGTCCCGCCTGCACTACATTTCTGCCATCTGAGCCAGCCCTTATAAAGGAGTTCCTGGAATTGTATTTCAGCCAATAGGACGGAGGCTTTCCATATCCACAACTAATAGTTCAGAGCAGCACAGCTTTGACCAACTAGAACAACTCTGTTCTGACCAATCAGGACAGTGTCTTTTAGACCAATCAAATGGTGAAAATTTGGAGTCCTCATTTGCATGAGGATGGACCCATGAAGGACCAGGGGTGGGGACTTCTGTCCATGTAAGCCAACTCCCCTCTGACCCAAAGAATGCACTTTCCCTGTCTACCTAACTCTGAGTTTTCCTGACTGAGTGAGCTGAAATACTGATGAAAGCTCAGCACAGAGCAGACTGGTGAGGAGCAGACTAGACCACAGAAGAGCAGAGCAGAGCTGTCTAGCCAGAGAGAGGCCTGGCCTCAGCACCACCTGACCCCAGGGCTGCCTCTCAACCACACTATTTGCATAGTCATGCTTTACCACAACTGAGCTGTTTCTCACTGAATGAAGTTGCTTTCTTCACTACACCACAGTTTAGGAGTTCCTGTTGGCGTTGAATTGGTGCCAACAACCATTGGTTGATGATGTGTACATATGTATATGTGTGTATAGATGCATATGTGTATCTGTATGCTGTTATGAATCCTAAAGGTCAAGCGTGATGAATTTTCACAAAACAAACACACTGGTGAAGGACATCCCAGTTCTAAAATAAGACGTTACTACCCCCCAGAGCTCCCTTTTGCTGTCATACAATCATTATTAACAATTTGCTTCTTCCCCTAAGATGTCTACTATCCTTACCTCCACCAACATAATTTATACAGAGGAATGTTATATAGGCAGGACCCAAAATATGTGTATACTTTTTGGGTTATTTATTAAAAATTGATAATTATCCAAGTTCTTGCATATATTGGTAATTCATTCATTTGCACATGACAATACATTGAATGGATACCATGAATATGCCACCATCACCCATTGTAATGGTTTGACGACCATTCGAGGAGAATGTTAACCAGATTGGGACTTTTCAAGAGTGTTGACAAAAACATTTTGCTTCGGAAATGTAGATGCTCACCGCAGCTCAAGGGAAAAGTGGCAAAAACAGCGACGCTCATCTCAATGAGTTCCTCTTCCGTTTGGAGTCTTGGCTTCTTATGTCTGGCTGCCCTGATAGCTCTTCAAAGCCTTCAAACAGAATATTAAAAAAATATTTTGTCAAGCTTGTTGAATTGTTCTTGAAGGAAAGACCAGTGTATACTCATCTATCATGGCAAGAGGTATGTACCTTGAGTGTTTATGGCAAAGCCAGATGACTTAATAGTCACAGAATCCCTGGGGTCGTGCCACAGTCCAAAGGCCCCCGTTACTTTTAGCTTCAGAAAAGAGGCAAGTTGCCCACAAGAAAAATCTGGTCAGCTGTTCTTCTAGGCCAGCCACACACGAAGCTCAGAGCAAATCACAGCGGCAGGGCACTGGCCATCACCCCACCTCACTAGGAAGAGCAGACGCCTGGCAAAGCCTGCTGTCAGGAGCAGCTCTGAGCTAGGCATAGACCTTTGAAACCTCTGAATTTTTCCTGTTTGATCTTTTTTGGTCTGATTGTTATAGAAATACTAGGAAACCGGAGACAATTTGCTCATACCTAAAGAGAGAAGTAAAAATTAGTGTAATTATTCCATCAGTTTGGGCAATGTTTGTATTATTAGGTAAAATATCTTAAAAATCAAATCCCTTTCCACCTCTCCACCCCAATACACACACATACACACAACACACCACCCCAAACCGTCCAAACTGATGTATAAATTTAAATTTAAGGCATATCAAGAGAATACCACAAACTCCTTTTTTGACTTTAATTAGCCTAAAATACTGCAAGAACCACTTTTTGTTTTCTGAGTTTTTTTAAGAAAGAGAAAAATGAAATTGTATGACTAAAACACTAAATGTATATTTAACAAAATAGTTGATTAATTACTAAAAAAAGGCAGAGTGATAGAATTAGAAAATTAGTTTATAGAGACAAAATACAGTTCACACATCCCCTTTCAGTTCAAGTTTAATCTCTTCCTATATTAAACTAATATATTCCTGAAAATTTTGTTTTGCTAGATTTATAAGAGTAGCCTCAAAATTTTTAGAAAAGGAAAACAGTGAAAATTAAAAATATGAGAACCTTTTAACCATTAATTATACTTTGGAATAAGCATTTATCAATATTTTGGTGTTCCTGTTTACATAGCAACTGTATTTTAATACCTTTCTGCCAAAGTAATTTGATTCTTCCCTTTTTGAAAATATTCATGGCCTATTTTAATTGTGGTATGGGATGTCACTGTTTAAACAATTCTGTAATATATTATTTTTTAAAAGAAATTTATTTGGTAAAGTCAACTCTTCCTTTCCATTTATATTTTCCAAATTTGAACAAGCCATTATTACGCTTTACAAAAAATGAAGCAGCTATTTAAAAGCAGGTATAAATTATAAGTAATTCTCACCCTATTCAAGCAAAATGGATTGCATTTGAGATGATTTAGTGGATTTAGAAAACACAGTCAGAGCCTTTGATATTAATATATACATATTTATCTGAATTAACTTTGCTCATTATCATCCTTTATGAGTGGGTGGGTTGATTGGTTGTCAAGAGTGCTACTCCATAGAAGGCAGAAGGGACACCTGTCCCTATGTTTCTGAGAGGTAGTCCCCAATACTCAACATGCCCTTAAGTTTTGCAATAATATGAACTCATGTTTTAAACATAGCTCGACAAGTTTTCTGTGTGCTTGTTCCCTTTACTCACTTTCCTTTGGTCGTTGTCTAAAGCCAGAGCCCTGCAGGTTACTTTACTCAGACATGTTAAAGCCAGACCGCCGGAAACCTTTCCCTGCGGCTTTAAATAAAACCATTTCTCAGATGTATAGGAATTCTTATTTGTGGAAAATCTGCATGAATCTAAAATTAAATGCAACAACAGCAATCCATGTCAGAAAGAATTTATAAAGAAGGAAACCATGGCAACAGAATCCTTTATTTTTAACCGCACCAATCCTTATCTCTACTTTCACTCCAAATGAAGCACGCTTAAGCCATTGCTTTTTTGATGCTGTCTTATTGCCATTGTAATTCTGTGAGAGTCAAAAATAGCAACAGAAATGGTCATATTTATATTACTAAGTACTGTGCAAGCCATCCTTCTCTTCATATTGACTTGCTCACATTATCCTGCAAGTGGCTTGTGAGGAGCTGGTGAGGTTATCGAGAGGAAGCTCAGGTAGCACATCCCACAGGGTCAATGCCACGGCTAATGTCAACGACATGCACTCCAGTGGGGATCTTGGGGTCCTCCTGATTCAACTATTCTAGTTCCACATCTTATCAGAAGTGAGCTGGCCATGCAGTGCAAGAACAAGTGTAACCACACCGTGTTCCAACATAGCTTCCTTTGGCTCCCAGGGATGCTGTCTGCACACAGTATCTAGAAAGCTCTGATTTTTGCCTCACTGCTGCTAATCTCACATCACCACCCCAGAACTTACTCTTATAATGTTGATGCTTTGCATAAGCAAAGCATTACGCGCTGTAGGCAAAGACTGTTTTGTTAAAATATTTTTAAAGTGCTTATCAGAAGTTTTTGCATGATTGATAACACTGAAAAACATAAGCTTATTTTCCTACAAATACTTTAATAAACAACTCACTTTCAAGACTGTTATGAGCCTAAAAATCTAGTAGCTTATTTTAATAAATATCAATTGATCAGATATGGTATTTGGAATGTATCTTTCCTAATCCCTTTGTCTATCTTGATTTCTGTTAGCTAAGTTGCATGAAGAACTCAGGGTGTCCAAAGATAGTAATTCATCTTGAGCTGCTCATTCCAGAAGAGCCCTCGGAGAAATGCAGACTTTAGCTTTGAAGATCAAAGACTTGGGTAATAGAAACAAGCACAAGAATATATCTGAAGGCTTGAAGGGCATTAACCCAATACATCAATTGACTCACATGGAAAAATTGATCTTATATTTTCTGAAATAAATGGGAAATCTGATTGTTCAAAGGACTCTGGCCCAGTTATCTGTGAATCATGCTCAGAGTTAAATAAGAAGCTGCAAGAAGGCTCTGTCTTAGATTGATTACATCAAGCAAACAGAAGCCTGGGTTCACACTAACTTCTTCCTTATTTAGCCCATTTGTTTCTGTCGCTCAGTTTCTAGAATTCCCCTTCACCCCCTTAGGTTGGTCTGCAGGTCAAATTGCCTCACATGGCTTCACTGCGGCCAAACGTTGCCAGTGTTAAGGAGAAAAATCACAGCCCCAAAATGGAGTCACTTGTGCTAATTCTGTGACACCTGCATTTAGATTTAATGCGTGACCTACTTGCAGGTTCAGCCCCTCCTAGGAATGTGACCTTAGATCGGTAAGTCTGGAATTTCCTGATCAACACTAAGGAGAGGATCTTCCTCGTAAGACCCCTGATGCCCTTTCCCCCCAAAGGAAGATGCCATTGCCTGAAACAATCTTTTCTTTGTTTTCACTAATAACTTCCTTTTCCCACCAGGTTCTGCCTATAAAAATCTTTCATTCTCCACAGTTTCTTTGTGTACCTTACTCTTTACTAGATGGGATGCTTATTGATTCACAAATTGTTCAATAAAGCCAGTTAGATCTTTACATTTACTAACTTTTGTTCTTTCATACTAGCTATATTTGCTTTGGCAGATTCTCACATAGGTACTTAAAGAAAAGAATGAATATTTACCCATGGCATTAAGTGCTCCGGTTTCTCTGAAGTAAAGCAAAACAAGAAAAATGTTATTTAGAATTATTTCTTTCAAATCAGACAAAGCCAGAGGTACATCACTTTCCACCCTCAGTACAGAGAAACAAAATCTTTCTCTCTTTGGAGGAAGTATGAGTTGAAAAGCAGGACTATCATGCAGTTTCTCTATTTCCAGAGCTGCAGTTACTTTATCTTCTGTGATTGCTTCTTTGTTTCTACCATTTCCCATTTTGGTAGCCGCTCTGAGGATGTATTCAGCAAGTATTAATTTTGTCCCTACAAAGTCTGAGTCACCGGCCATGAAAAACGTGAAGCGTGGAAACTGGGCTGGGCACATACAGAAACAGGAGGGGATTCAGGTATAAATAAGGTTGGAACGAGCATCTTTCACCATCCCAGGGAGACGTGCAAAAAAGTGCTTATTCGGCAATAAAAACAACAATAAGAGCACAAAAGTAAAGAAAAAAGAATAGAATTTTTCCCCTTAAGTTTTGTGTAATATTGATAAATGACCATCCTTGAAACAAACCAATTTTGACACTATAATTCAATGAACCGATAAGAAAAAATAAAAGATGATTCTTTTTGAGCTTCTGGTCAGCTTTGTGGTAGCCAAGCCTCAGCAATTTGGATGCCTTTGCATTGGAAGAATTGCTAAGAAATCTCACATCTTTAATTATTTGGATGCGGCATTGGAAAAATTTTAAGCATACCAATTAGGTAAGAAAGTGGCGGGGGAAATTTTGAAACGTTTGAACAAATTGTGCCAATTCTTCAGTGGATGTAAGTATTTAAACCCTTTTCCATTGTCTGGACACAGCATGATGAAAAGAACCCTGAAGCTAACACAAGAAAAGCAAAGACTCGTCCTTCGACATTTTGTTTATAGCCTACCTATTCTCCAGTGGATGTTTTAAAGGGCCTGATGTATATAGGATGACAATGAAAGTATGTGAGGCCATCAAGGCCAAGGGGGAAAGAAGCAGGGCAGCCAATGACTGAGATGAAGGCGGAGGTGTGTGTGTCTGCAGGCGCTGCTGGCCCATGGCCAGGAGAGAATCAGGGTTTTGCCGTCCAGCTTCTGATCACTGTCCTAAAGGGCAAACAAGCACTTACACAGTTCACATTATCCATGAGCTGCATTACAGTAGGTCAGAATAAGCATAATGATCCCCGGTACTCAGACTTGACAGAAATTTCTCCCTCCCTTGATTCCCCATAAAAAGTCAGTGAATTGTCTCATGAAGCTCGTGGGGAGCATCCTCACTGTGAGTTGGGATGTTTCATGAGGAGCTGCCTGCTCTCAGGCCCCTGGGGTCTCCTCCCACCCACTCTGCCACTCTGTAAACAAAGTCGCATAACCTCTTGCTGACCAAGATACTTCAGCTGAAAAACGTCTTGGGCTCCATCGGCAATGAATTCTGTTCTTGGATTCTGATCATTATAGTAGGTCCTTAAGAAGCTTTTCTTGCTAACATTTTTTATCCTAGAATGACAAAATATTGTTGAAATAAGACTGGGTACTCTGCTTGTAAGCATGTATTCCAACATTTTCCTTCCTGATCACTGTATCAGACTGAATCCAGGAAGGAAACGGTATCAGTCATTTGAAAAAGGAACATTTGGCCTGGCTGGTGTAGCTCAGTGGATTGAGCGCGGGCCTGCAAACCGAAGGATCACAGTTGGATTCCCAGTAGGGGCACACACCTGGGTTTTGGGCCAGTTCCCAGAAGGGGGCACATGAGAGGCAACCAGACATTGATATTTCTCTCTTTCTCTCCTTCCCTTCCCCTCTAAAGATAAATAAATAAAATTTTAAAAGAGAAAAAGGAACATTAAATATGACAAGGTATTAACTGGTAGCAGTTGAGTCCCCAAGAAGAGGGGATAAAAGCGAACTCAGAAGATGCCCTTGGGCAAGGAGACAGTACCCAGTGTAGGAATGGCCTTGGGAGGGGGCATTGACTTTAAGGGTGAGATCGAGACTTCACCAGAGAGGTGTGACTGGGCAGAGGGGTCCACCAGGTTACCCCAGACCAAATGTAGTCAGAGCCAGCTGGTAGGGGAAAACCTGCCCAGGGCTGACTTGCGGGAGGCCTCCCACTGTGGTCCCAGCAAAACCCACCGAAGGGCACATGCCACTGGACCTCCCCACGCACAGATGCCTCTGTGAGCCACCCCGAGGAGCCAGAAGAGAGAAAACAACCAAATCAAGTAAAGTTTCCTTTTGGCACCTTTTACTGACATAGTTTCAGCTGGCAAAGGAGAAATCCTCAAGGGTTCCAACTCCAGTATCACAAAGCAGGGGAATGAAGTATGAATTTGGAGCTTGGAGGTGACAAATTGATCACTGGCATAACTTCCTTGCCCTAAGTCATTAAATACCAAAACACGTGGTGTGCATTTACACAATGGTCACTACCCTTTGATGCTACAATATCAAAGTAATGCATTTTACAATATTCAGAGAGTTGGGACAAGAAACAATGGCATGCGTTACTGATTTCTCCCATAGCACCATAAACAGTTCACCAGGAAGGTTTGTCAGACGAGCATAACATATTGTTCTACCGACTTTCTAATATTCATAGCATGCAAGTTTGTAATTTAGATCCACGATTTTCTACTTTTTCATCTCGGGGCACACAGACACTAATTACTAAAATTTTGCAATGCACCAAAGTACTATATTTTTGACTGATTTGAAAAATAGGTATAATTTTGATTTATACAAATCAAATGGCTATCTTTGGGTTGGCTGTTGTCATTTTTTTAAATTTGACAACCTCAGGGAAAAGGGGGAGTGCCCCTGACTAAATAGTTAGGTATTGAATATTCTAAAATTTCTTGCAGCACACCAGCTGAAAATCCCTGATTTAGGCCATCGTTATATTGCTCTGTAAGCCAATAATCATCTGAAAAAGGAGACCATATGGTGGGTAAATGCTAATTCATTTATTCAGTTAGCTAACACATATCTGATGAGTACCTACTCTATGCTAGATGCTGGGAATAGAGAACGAGATCAGAAATTCAATGCCCCAAAGATTACACAGTGATAAGTACTGTGAAAGCAAATTATTGGGAGACTTCACCTACTCAGGAAGGTTGGGGAGAATTCCCTCAGGAAGCGCAATTGAAGGCAAGCGGAGTGGGGGTGGGTGGGAACAGCATTCCAGGACCAGGGCACAACCTGTACAAAGACACTATGATGGAAAGAACATACACGCAAGGGACTTGAAGGACTGTGTGCCTGGGCCTGGGGACCACGGCAAGGGGTCACTGAGGGAGTGAGTTCTTTAGCTGTGTGCCAGAGGCTTCATCTGAACCATCACTCCCTGGGTCTCCAGCCCGCTGGCCCACACTGCAGACTTGGTCTTGGCAGCTTCACTAAGCTGGTGAGTTGCTCTTTATAGTAAACCTCTTTCCATGTATGTCACGCACCTCTTGGTTCCGTTTGTCTGAAGCACCCCGACTAAGACAGACTTTGATGAGAAAATATCACGAGGGTACTTCCCTAAGCCTTTCATCTCTCTCTGCGTGGTTCTCTGTCAGGGGCAATTTGGGGACATTTGGGGATGTCCGTACACAGTTTCAGTTGTCACCAATGGGTAGGGTGATATTGGCATCTAGAGGGCAGAGAAGAAGCTAAACCTTTTAAAATGAAAATGATAGCTCCCCACAACAAAGAATGACCCTATTTATATTTTTCAGTAATTGCAAGGCTGAGAAAATGCACTCTGTCTGCATGGATAGCCAGGAGAATATCTTCCGCAGGACTGGGGGTGGGGTCTGAGGTGAGGCGGTGGGAGTGGAAACTAGTGAGAGTTTCAAGAACATCTTGCTCAAGAGGAAGTTCAGAGTTGATACCCATTCAAGTCAAGGGGGTCTTAAGAAAGACTGCTGTCAATATTAGCCTTGTAAAACGTTAAGTAAAATTTGTTTACTGTCTCTCATAGTGCTATTATTTTAAAATCATAGCTTTAAAAATTCTGGACTCCATCCCTGAGGAAGGAGTAAGTGCACAGCAGCATTATTCAAATGGCTTCACATCACGGAAAATCAAATGGCTTCACAAAACAGAAAACGTTAAAACACAGATAATGTTCATCATTTAATTTTAGCTTATTCAAACGACGTGGTGCAGATTTCTGTGAAATTAAAGAATCAGTTTTCCATTGAGTTAACTTTCAGACTTAAAAACATTTTCAGCTAAGAATGCAACAAATTCCCCCAAATTTCCTGGTTTGGTGTTATTAGATCTATAGGAAGTCATAAATAGTCCAGTAGAAAGGTAATGAAAACTGAATTCTGGGAGTTCTAATTGGAAGCCAAAATCCCTTCGGTAAGAGGAGAAAGGACCCCAACCGCTGTGGGACGTTTTTGGTATTACAGGGTTGGATGTGGACATTAGGAAGAAGACATTTATGGAGCACAGTGTGTCACCTCTCATGCCACAGGACACTCAGATGGGGGTAGTCACTCCAGCAGGGGTGTCCAGCCTTCAGTGTCTGGGCCACCCTGGAAGAAGAGCTGTCTTGGGCCACACATCAAATACACTGGAACACATAATCACAAAAAATTCTCATAATGTTTTAAGTAAATTTACTTTTTAGTGTTGAGCCGTGTTCATAGCCACCCTGGGCCACGGGCCGCAGGCTGGAGACCCTGTTTGCAGCTTACTCAATGTCCCTTCCCTCCAACTCAGGAAAGGCAATTGATGTGTTAATAGTTGGGCACATTTTTATGGAATATGTTCTGTCTTAGAGATCATAAAATGGTCAGTTACACAGATACTTCTATAAAAGATTTATATTGAGATTTTAAAAAGAGGTTTGTTTCCAACTCTCTTTTAAAATGAATTACAAATATTGAAATGTCTTTGTTGAAAAGGGTTTCACCAGACCTGTCTGAGTATTTAGGAAATTAAGGACTTTCCCTCTAAATCCTAACTGAACTAGGTAGATCGGCCTGCCTACAGTGAACTTTGTCAGAGAGCCAGCCAGTTCTCACTGTATTTTCAAAGTAGCCAGCATTTCTTCTGGTCCGTAGAGAAAGAGAAATTCTGGAGGACCAGGCTGGGTGGGGAGGTCAGAGTTTGAATGGATGGATGCTGAAACCCACTGGAAATATCTAAAAGTGAAACTGTCTCTTAAATTAATATTTAAATACTACTATCTTAATGCAAACAGAAACACAAAACATTCCCATGTGGGCTGGGAAATAAGTAGCCATGCAAGTATTCCTTAAGTAGACAAATTCTAGAGTATTATAATCCAAGAGATTCCATGTGTTCTCATCTTGGTGACAAATTGTACATTGCTCTGTGTTAGGTTAAGCTCTCGGGACACTTTTATTAACCTCTGTCTTTGAGCTTTTCCTCCTCTATTATCTGCTTAAAACAAACAAGCAAACACACAACCTATAGCAGCGATTTTCAACTTGGGCCGCAAGAATTTTTCAAGCAGGCAGCACCTGACTATTTATTCAGGGGCACTGACCTCTTTTCTCTTCAATTGTCAAATAAAAACATGACAACAGCTGACACAACAATAGCTGTCTGTGTGAATAAATCAAAACTATAACTATTTTTTTGTCAGGTTGGCAAAAACTGTAATATATTCTTCGGTGTGCTGCAGAATTTTAGTAATTAGTGCCTATGTGCCAGGAGATGAAAAAGGGTGGCACTCGCTGGTGCAGAGCATTAGAAAGGATTGTGACAACTGAAGTTATTTAATTGTTACCCATCAGCAGTGTGCCTCAGATCCTTAGCACCTGATCTCATAAACACGAAGTAATATTGGAATCTCTGGATGGTATGTACGATGTAGCTGAATATTCAGTCCGCAGGACAGCTTGGCTTCCTCACCCGTACTTGAGTATGCGCCAACACTACATCTTACTCCCAGTGTTTACACATAACCACCTTTCACTCACAATCCTGATAAGAGAAATTGCATTTGGTTGGAAATGGAAGCAATCTAGATAGTGGCGAAAGGGAAGTGTTCATGAACACACGGTTGCAGAGGTGATGCCTGCAATTTTTAATGACTGGCCTGCAAAGAATCAGGGGCACAGTTTACAAAAGCACCGACCTTCCTACCTCTGCAGCATCACATTTTAAATCAAAGAAAACAAAGATCTTAAAAGAGGGAACATGTGGCTGAGAGTTCACAACTGCAGTGCCTGAAATCAATCTACTCCACAGGAGGACCCTTTAAAGGTTACAGTCTTTTCCTCCAGACTTGGTGCCTTTTGTTATTTTGATACTTAACCTCTCTTGGCCAGATTGTTGGCTGGCAAACTATTTTCAAACATTTATATGACGTTTGCTTGTGTATTCCAGGGAGGGAAAGTCTTTTTGTTATAGCTAGTAAAAATCAAGCCAAACAGATAGTCAGGGCTGTAATTTGCAAAGGTCAACGGTCATGACAAGTGAATGACTCCAGAGGCCTTGGGGTCAGAGGTGCAGCTAGAATCCCACAA